CACTCGCACCGCATCGTGAAGCGCAAATCGAAGGGCGGCGGCAGGGGCTTTGGTTTCGGGCGGAAGAGCTCCAAGCCGAAGCCTTCGAAGCCTAGCCGTGACCCGTACCCGAAGCAGCCACCTCCCGCCGGTTATCCTCGACAGCCGGCGCACAATCCCGCGTACCCGAGTGGAGGAGGTGCATCAGCGCCAGGAGCTCCGCCCGCCTACCCGGGCACCAACAGTCGTCCGGGATACCCGGCCGGACCGCCGCCGCCGTACAGCCCTCCGGGCAGCCATCCCTCCTATCCGGCGCATGGAGCTCCTCCCGCCTATCCCGGCGGCGGCCACTACGGTCAGCCACCAGCATACGGCAGTGCCGGAGGATACCCAGGATGTAAGTGTGATCCTTTAGAATCCCTCATTTTAGAACTCTTTACCAACTTCTTTTCTTTTTATTTTGTGTAGACGGTAACGCCGGCGGCTTTGGCGGCGGCAGCTACGGTAACAGCTACGGTAACATGGGCGGCGGCATGGGCGGATTCGGTGGCAAGAGCAGAGGCGGCGGCCTAGGCTCGACGCTGGGCGCTGCCGGTTTTGGCGCGGTGGCCGGCACGGCGCTGGGCGCCTACGGCGGCTACAAGATGGGCAAGATGGTCGGCTCGCTGGGCAGGAGTGGCCACTACGGGTAAGTGTTTTGAGGTTTTTAGGTTGTCATGAGTCATGACGACCTAGCTTAGCAGCTAACTCTTTCCGTGTTTACCTTTTGTTTACCTTTTTGTTTTTTCTCAGATACTACAGCGACCAGGGCCGGTACATACGGTACGTAACTTTAAAATTGCACAACTCATCTTCAAATGACTAACTTTCTTTCTTTGATTTATTTTCGTGCAGCTGCGACCCACCGAAGAACATCAAGGTCGACCCGGAGACGAATGTGACGTACATTCCCCTGGAGGAGGATTACGACAAGCGGTGCTCCTACTTTGACCGACAGCCACCGCAGTACTACCGCGGCCCGCCCGCCGGATACTACGCCAGCGGCGCCGCCGGAAGTCCCTCCTCGATGCTTTTCGGCAGCAGCCCTCCCTCCATCAACCGCCTCGTGGAGAGCCTGGTCACCTTCAGCTTCCTGGAAAGCTTCCACCTCTTCTGGCAGAACGCCTTTGTCTTTGCCATTCTCGCAATACTCGTCTACTAGCCATAGTTTGGGAGTGTTTTAGAAAATGATATACTCTTGAGTTGTTTTGCCTTTAGTGTTTTGATTAGCTTTACTACTACAACTACTGAAAAAGTTAGCTTTACTTAGCTGCTCAAGCACTTCCTTTCACTCCACTTTACCATCTTCGACGTTATCATCTCCTCCTCCTCCTGTACAGTTTCGTCCCCTCATCACCACCTTCATCACCACCAACACATCATCATCATCATCTCCTGCTTTTCTTTTCCACCAAACTGAAAGGTCATTAANCCCTCATCACCACCTTCATCACCACCAACACATTATCATCATCATCTCCTTCTGCTTTTCTTTTCCACCAAACTGAAAGGTCATTATTATACACCTGCACCTGCACTTGCTGAACAACCAAAAGTGAGCCACCACTAACCAGTCAAACACATATACATTTACAACGATTCGATTTTCTATATTTTACTAACACACTCTATCTCTCATTGTCACAAAACACATACAAACTGGCTTTATTTTCCGCATATTTTAACTGTTATTGATGTTGATATTGAGATATTGATTATCACCTGTTTGTTTTTGTCTCTCCTTTTCATTAATGATTATGTATATTTATTGACACAACACGATATATAAAAACTCATTGTTTCTAATCAGCCGCTAATTACGACGTGACAATTTGCTTGGCATTTTTAACGCTACCTTCCAAGGTCGAGGAAGAGGTAGTGCACTTCCGATTCGGAAGTTCCAAGGGACCCCAAAAGTTTAAACATTTTAATAATTCATAAACCATGCAAAGATTAAAAATTGGAAAAAAGAAAGAGATTATAATGCAAAAAGAGAGGAGATGGGCGCCTAAATGGAGATGGGCGTGGGCTTGCTAGCGATGAAAGAGAGGCAGCATCTCCTACTTGGGGATGAACAAAGTGTGCTGGCCCCAATGCTGGGGNGTTTAAACATTTTAATAATTCATAAACCATGCAAAGATTAAAAATTGGAAAAAAGAAAGAGATTATAATGCAAAAAGAGAGGAGATGGGCGCCTAAATGAAGATGGGCGTGGGCTTGCTAGCAATGAAAGAGAGTGGCAGCATCTCCTGCTTGGGAATGAACAGAGTGTGCTGGCCCCAATGCTGGGGACACGCCCACTTATCCCTGCTAGACTTTACTGCCCTTAGGAGCCACCAGCTTGCTCTTGGCGCCACCAGCAGGCGCCGCCTGCTTAGCGACCATCGCCGACTTGGCGTTCTTGGCGCCGCCCAGCGAGGAGCGAGGCGAGGGAGCGAGGATGCTGCTGCTGCTCCCACCCACCGAGGACTTGGCCGCCATCTTTGACTGGGCCTTGCCACCAGGACCAGCCACCTGCTTTGTTTTGGGCTCCTCTTTGGCTTTGACCACAACAGCTGGAGCAGCAGCAGCAGCTGGAGCTTTTTGGACCTTGGGAGGAGGCTTCTTCTCCTCCTCCTTCTTCTTGTTGTCCTTGCTGTCCTTGCTNCTGGGCCTTGCCACCAGGACCAGCCACCTGCTTTGTTTTGGGCTCCTCTTTGGCTTTGACGACAGCAGCTGGAGCAGCAGCAGCAGCTGGAGCTTTTTGGACCTTGGGAGGAGGCTTCTTCTCCTCCTCCTTCTTCTTGTCCTTGCTGTCCTTGTGGTCCTTGTGGTCCTTGTGGTCCTTGTGGTCCTTGTGGTGGCCTCCACCATGATCGTTATCATGACCATGGCCATGACCACCACCACCACCACCCTCTTCCTCCGCCTTGTAGTACTTCTCCTCGAGGACCTTGCGGCTGCAGTAGCACTCGTACTTCTTCTCAAAGTCGTCGAAGGCGTCTGTGTGCAGAATGGAGTAGATGCTCCAGTTCTCCGGGCACATGAAGTAGAACATGCCCAGGCCGGTGGAGGCGACGATCATCACCAGCAGGGCGAGGATGTAGTTGGTGGTGGAGGCCCAGTACTCGGTGAGGGGCTCCTTCTCCACGTAGTAGTTCTTCACGACAATCTTCTCCTTGGAATCCTTGCAGCAGGTGCTGCTGCTGTTGCTCTTCGGGGTAGTGGTACTGTTTGAGCTCTTCGTAGTGCTCTCAGACACGTTAGAGGAAGTGGTGGTCACCGCCGGGGTAGTGGTCGGTTTTTTAGTGGTAGTGGTAGAGTTGCCGCCCACCACTACCACTTCCACGACACAACCAGTGGCCACCAGAAGTAGCACCAGAGTGGCCCAAGTTGGGAGACGCATGCTGTTGAATGTGGCTGCTGGTGGTAGTGAAAGCTTTACTAAACCAGGAAAAACGGTAGAGAGAAAGTGACTAAGACTTTGTCAACGCTTTGACGATCGCTTGCAGA